TTGCAGATAAGCAAATTAGGGCTCAGAAGGCATGGAGTGACCTTGCTCAGGTCCCACAGCCAGAAGGATAAGGTCAGAGAGCACTTGGGTCTCTCCCACCCCTCTCCCAGGCTCTCTGTGAACACTCACAGAGGACCCAGATTGTCTGATTTTTAAAAATCTCTTGTTCAGCCGGGCTCGGTGGCTCAGCCTGTAATCCCGCACCTTTGGGAGGCTGAGGGGAGTGGACTGCCTGAGCCCGCGGGTTCGAGACCCGCCTGGGCAGCGAGACCTCATCTCTACAATAAATCAAAAATGATCCGGGTGTGGTAGCGCGCGCCTGTAGTTCCAGCTACTTGGAAGGCTGAGGCGGAAGGATCGCTGGAGCCCAGTAGGTCGAGGCTGCGGTGGCCGGGAGCGGCCACAGCACTCCAGTCTGGGTGAGTGAGACTCCAACTCAAAAAAAAAATAAAAATAAAAAATAAAAAAAATCTCTTGTTCACAGATGTCACAATTCAGAAAGGTGCCCTCAGGGTCAGATATACCAGGCTTTAGACAGTTGAGATAGGGAGGAAACTGGGGTAAGATGTGGTCAAGACCAGTCAAGAGACTGTGGTGGCATTCAGCTTCAACCTGGCTGCTGTGAGCCTGCCTTTGAGGAAGTAGACATGGCAGACAGAACCCAGTGCTGGGAAGTTTCTAAAGTCAGGTGGTGGCCAAAGGGGTCTGACACTAGGCTTTGCACCCAGAGAAGCAGGGGTGAAGGGCCTCCTCGTAGAGATCTGGCCAAACTGGCTTGGTAACAATGGCATTCACTGAGCCCCTGCTGTGTGCTGATCACTCTTGTAAACACATCACATTCATTGTCTTACTTAAGCCCCATAACAAGTCTATGACATAGATACCAGTATCCTTTCCCAAAGATGAGGAAACTGAGGCACAAGTAAGTTAAACAAGTGCCCAAGGTTTTTATACCACTAAATATCAGGGTCTCGTTTAGAATCTGAGCAGTCTAACTTCAGAGCCCAAACTGTGGCCTGAGTCATCCATGCCCCATTCAAGAAATGGCTTGGACAACAAGTTCACAGGTAGACCCCACCTGTGACAGATGAGTTAACAATGACAATCAATGTCCTCTAGGCACAAAGCTGGACCAGGAACAGAATGGAAGGGAACAGGAAAGAGCGACTAGAGGGAGCTCCATCTTCAGTCTTGGGCTTCCGTCTTCGGGGCATGACCCACCGTGTCTCACTTGCAGAGACAAACTTGTGTCTCCCAGGCTCTCTGGGCAGCCTTGTGAAGGGTGGAGGCAAAGGTGTGGCAGCTCCCCTGTGCCCATCACAGAACACGTTATAGATGTAGAGTCACAGGATGTCTGAGTCATCTTTTCAGTGAAAATGGACCTGTCTGCACTAGTCTGCCCCTGGGCAACACCCAGAGAAGCAGGCAGAAGGAGCCTGAGGCCAATCCTTCCTCCAACAGCAAGGGGTCTAAGATAGAAACCTCTGGAGCTCCACCACTCCTGGAAGATTAAACGGGGCTCTGATTCCCAGAACATTGCCCCTTTTTTCTAAGACCTTTGGATCCTTCTCAATGCGGCCAAGTCAGAACCAGCCAGGGAGCTTCTTACAAATACTGCCATCTGAGCCTGGCCTGTCGCTGCTGCACCACAGCCCCCTGAGTGCTGACCTGGGGCAGATGAAAGCCAGCACTGAGAACTGAGATGCACCCCCACATTCCCAGACGACCTGCATTCCTGTGGGTGAGGCTTCCCTCAGTGAAACATTTCAGGAAAATGTATTGCCTGGGAAGGACTGAATCATCAGTAGAGCGGGGGAGGCAGAAGGAACTCGGTTTCTGAGTCATGCTGAGGGTGAAGTCCCAGCACCCCCGCTTCCTAGCTGTGTAACTTTGACAAGCTCACCAAGCCCAGCTCCCTTGCCTGCAAAACGGACACTCAATATTCACTAGCATAACTGCTGGGGAAGCCAATTGGACAAGCATCATATCTAAAGCACCTGACACAAGCCCTGGTACAGACAAGGGCTTCAAATCACTAACAGGAGCAACAGCAGGGCATGACACCATGCAAGGGATATCAGGGGTGTGTGCACACATTTGGGCAACATCTGGTACCACATGGGCTCTCTCTAGATGAAATTTCCACAGGAATTTTTTTTTTTAACATTGGGGAGGTACATAAAAAGGTTAGTTACATAAGTATGTTGTATTAATGGTGAAGTTTGGGCTTCCATTGAACCCATTACCCAGATAGTCAGCATGGTGTCCTTTGCTCCTTTACCCCCTTTAGGAATCCTCAGTGTCTGCTGTTCTCATCTGTATGTCCATGTGTACTATTTCTAACAATTTCTGCTGTGAAACATGATATGAAGAATGAGTCAGGAAAGTCTGTCCCCAGACATTCAAAATTCAAGCAAAGAGTACAGAAAGATGTCTTACCTCTTACTCAAAGGAAAAATTCTTACAGATATTGCACTGGTTGAAATTTGTTCTGCATTTTCAGGATCTAACCAATGGCTTGGATGGAAGGATGGATGGATAGATGGATGGACGGATTGATGGATGTGCTTATTAGATGGCTGGGTGAAGATGGGATAAATAGATAAATGTATGAATGGGTAGGCAAGAAAGTAGATGGGTGATAGAAGAAAAGGGTGAACAGGTGAGTGGAAGACTTGATGCAACTAAACTTCTTTCCATTTTAGGATCTCTGAGTCTCCCTCTAATTCAATGCCTATACTCCACTCTACCATTCCTCCACTCTTTACAATCCCCCCTCCACTCTCGACCATCCCTCCCCCTAAAACACACTTATAAGAGATCATCCATCTTAAGCATCTGAGAAATTCCATAGGGAATAAATTTAAAGAGTCCTCAAGCAAGCTCTGGACTGGAGACTTGGAAGTGGAGGGCTCAGGTACTTTGGTTATCTGGTTATTTCACAATCTGCAGAGCATCCTGTGTTTCTTTATAAACCTAACCCTCTGAGCCCCATAAGCCTTGTGAAGACCTTGAACTGTCAGGATGCTCAGCTGGGCCCCACTCACCCTCTAAATTCCTGTAAGTTACCACTCCTCAGGAAGAGGATATATTGAGCTCAAACCATTCCTAGAATCCAACTGTGCCAGCCTCCCAGACTCAACTGCTTGCTCTCAAGATGGTACATACAGCTCCAGGAAACCTTTTTTTAAGTGTTCGTTTTCCTCTTAGCTTTGGGTGGATTTCTCTCTCCCTGCTGCCTCTGGATGAAGCTAGAGAGAGCTAGCTATGGTAGCAGATAAGGTGTTTTAGCTTCTCCCCACAAGCTGTGGCTTCAGCTGCGCCAGCCTTTGTCCAATGGGCTGAAAGAGTCAGCACTGGCCTGGAAAGGCCAAGCTAATCTCAGTGCCCAAGGAAGGGCTCACCTTGTTGGGGTGAGCTACAAGATAGGCTGGGAACCAGGTCTGCCTTTCCTTCCTCTTCCTGCTTTGAGTAGGCCTGACTGTCTTGCAGATTGAACAGGAGGGTATCGCAGTGAAGGGCAGCCCCCACTTCAACCCAGACCCTGATGCGGAGACCCTCTACAAAGCCATGAAGGGGATTGGTAAGTGGGTGTCTGCAGCCTTGCAATGGGAGGGCTGGGCTTCTCTGTGGTTTCTCTCAGCTCAAGACTCCTCTGCTGGAAAGTGGGTGCCAGAGACAGCCAGGGAGTTGGGGTATCCCCCTTATACTCCGAGACTGACTCCATTACCCAGAGAATCATGCAGAGCCCAGCAATGTTTGGTACTGCTTGACTAAACAGGGAAAGGGCTATTGCTCTTCCCTGAATAATGGGGTGGGGGGCATCTGTGTTCCAGTGCCTGTGACTTCCCCCATTGGTCTGAGCTTCCTCAATTGTAAAATGTCCCCAAGAACTCTGGACCCTGTGAGTCTGGGGAATGTGGACAGATGGTGCCTGTAGAGCACCTGAGATGGGGTGTAGAGGGGAACTCTGTGGTGCTGACCCAGGACTCACTTGCTCCATGTCACTGTCCAGACAGCCAGCTTCTTTTCCATCTTCAACATCCACCAGTTCACCCTCAGCATTACTGGGAGCAGGAGAGGTCAGAAAGCCCAACCCAAAAAACTCTCCTGACCCCAGAGCAGAGCACAGGCCTTGAATTCATCCCAGGCTGGACTGACTCCTTACTGGCTCTGACTGATGAGTTGGGGCATTGAAAAGATGTACAATTCCTAGACCACCCTAGAAAACAGGGAGAAAGTCCTAGAAAGTCCTCCACTTTCTTCAAAATCTCTCCTATTATCTCTGTTTCCCAGATGAGAAAACAGAAGCTCAGGGAGATGAGGCTTCTCGCCCAATGTCATGAGCTCCCTGAGAGCCAGACTGAGACTTGAATCCAGTGATCTGGACTCTTAGTCCTGATCTTCCCTTACTGCAACCAACACAAAGGAGGGCAGGGTAGGAGATCCCACTTGGCCAAGCTCCAGAGGCCCAGGGGCCATGTCCAGAGCCATCTGGTCCTCAGATTCTATCACTAAGAGACTCGATCTGGGTCATACCCCAACATTATGTGGGTGTGGGTGTGGGTGTGGGAAATGGGGAGATGGATTTTCTAAGTGTCTTTTTTCACACCATGGAAATGATCTGGGGGTTTGAAACTATCCAGGTGGTATATCTCCACTGCTCAGCCACCAAGCAGCTGCCTTCCCCTTCCCCATCCCCAGCCCTCACTGGGGGTGCTGTGTGCTTACACTGTGCACCCCTGCAGGGACCAATGAGCAGGCCATCATCGATGTACTCACCAAGAGGAGCAACGCACAGCGGCAGCAGATTGCCAAGTCCTTCAAGGCCCAGTTTGGCAAGGTAAGGAGAAGCCTGGTAGGGCTGGGGAAAGGTGTGCTTGGGGAGGACAGCCTGGGAGGCAGCTCCATTCTGGACACTTTTTTAGATCCAGCCCAATGGAAACATGGGCATATGGGACCTTGTACACTAAAACTATTCTATTTTATTTATCTGAAATTCAAATGTATTTGGCCTTCCTGTGTTTTATCTGGCAGCCCTACGTACAGCTACCTAGAGCCCTGGCCTGGTGCTGGCCTTCCACTGCCTGGCCTGACTTCCTTTCCACCTTTTTCCTCCCTACATTTCTTCTTATTTGCCCCACAGGCCCTGTCATCATGAGCTGTTTCCCTGCCCTGGGCTTTGCTAGTGCTGCTGGCTAAGCCTGGACCACCCTTCTCCTTCCCACATCCCAGACATGCAGGACTGGTTTCCTGTTGTTCTGTGGCACAGCACTCTCTCCTCACAGCTTGCAGCTACACCTTGTCCTTTCTGACTCCTGAGAACTCTGAGAGCAGGGAGCAAGCAGGCCTGACCCTTTGTTTCCCCTCCCACTTACCCATCTGGGGATCCTCGGTAAACACAGGAATGCATTAGACATGTTGTCTGCAGTCCCTCGCCGGCTCATATTTTGACTTTGGAGATTAAATGAAGGAAGATCAGTGATGAAGCACAAATATTCCCTTGGAGAAACGAATGTCCATTTTTACAGTTTCCCTCTCATCGTTATGCATTATTCTCTACATTCAACATCTGGAGAAACTGACCTTCAGAGAGGTTGTAAGTTGCCCAAGGACCCAGAACCTATAATCAACAGATTGAGGATTTAAATACAGGCCTGACAAAGTCCTTGATCCTTCTGCTGCTTTGTGTGGATCAGCTGGTGTGGCCTTGTGCCTTCTTGTAGAGACATGTGCCTTTAGAAGGAGACACATGACACATGTGAAATAGATTCTTTAATTCATTCATGCATACATTTATTGAGTGCCTGTGGGCCAAGTGACAGGCATTTAATGGTGATGCCGACCTCAGAGCTTGCAGTCTAGTGCGTGATGGCGATTTTATTTTCTTGAGGGCTTATGATACGCCCATCACTGTGCTGTGTGCTAAGTTGACATACACACATCTCCCCATCAACACCCTAAGCAATGTGATAAAACAAGAGCACCATTATCTCTGTTTGACAGATGAGGATAGTGATGCTCAGAGAAGCTAAGGAGCTGGCCTAAGAAACCCCAGCCAGCACAAGGCAGGCCCATGTGGACTCCAGCCCAAGCCCCTGGGCCCAGCTGCTGCCCTGCTGCCTGTACTCAGCTGGGCCTGACTTACACAGATCATCGCCTTTCCTTGTCTCTGCATTAGGATCTCACCGAGACCTTGAAGTCAGAACTGAGTGGCAAGTTCGAGAGGCTCATTGTGGCCCTCATGTACCCACCATACAGATACGAAGCCAAGGAGCTACATGATGCCATGAAGGTAACAAGTGATAGAGTGGGGAGGAGCAGAAATGCTCACGATTGGGTGAAGGAGTGATGCCAGGATTGGGCACTGGCATCCCTGAGCTCCCCTTGAGCCACCATTTGGAATAGCCACCTGGTCCCAGGCTGACCCGAGTAAGTTTGTTGCCTGCTACTCAGACTGCACCCAACACCAGGATTCACTGGCCTCTGATTGACAAGTCAAGTGGCCTGGATGGAGCCAAAATCAGTACTTTCCAGAACCTCACTAGACCAGTTGTGCAGTGGAATTAGAAACCAGCCTCTTCCCAGCCCCTCAGGGTCCCCTTTCCTCTCAACCCTCCCTTTTGTTTCATAGGGTAGGAGGGAATGAGGACCCGGTAATGATAATCCTTTCCTTTGAAAGAATACTTCCTTTGTTGCCAGTGTCAGGCAGTTGACACCCAGGATCTCTAATCCACCTTCGGAGCAGAGGTGGCTTATTATCCCTATTTACCGATGAAGCTGCTTGGGCTCTGGGAAGTGGAGTGGCCTGTCCGAGACCACCCAGCCTAGGAAGGAGAGCTGCGGCAGAACTTCCTCATCACAGTGCTTGCCCTCAGTGTCCATCATTGAAGACAGATGTGTGATTTCCCCTTTGATATCCTCCAGTGAAATCCCTTATCAGAGTAGAGCAGAGCAGTGACAGCCCTTCCTGAGGCTCAGGCACCTTGAGAAAAGAAAGTGTGGCCAGAACAGGAAGCCATGGCAGAGCACGCCAACATGCAGAGGTTTCTGTCCACAGGGCTTAGGAACCAAGGAGGGCGTCATCATTGAGATCCTGGCCTCTCGGACCAAGAACCAGCTGAGGGAGATAATGAAGGCATATGAGGAGGGTAAGGGGGTTGCACAGGTGGAGGGCCATGTGGGCCTGAGTCGCAGGCTCACTTGGGAGTGGCCACAAGTTTCAGCAGCCTGGCAAGGAACAAAGGTCAAGCAGTGATCTGGACCACATTGGAGAGAACCCTTTGGGGCTTTTTCACAGATGGGTGCTAAATATCTACTGTGTGCCAAGACCCGTGCCTAACGGGGAGATTGGACATAACTCAGACCCGATCTGTAAGCTCATTGGCTGCCAGGAGAGAGGCGTGTGCCCAACTACACTGTCTTCAAGGGCTGTGGCAGTGCTGTGGACCACAGGCTGTGTCAGCGGTGGACAGGGCTGGCTCCTTCCTGGCTGATACAGGCTGATCCAGGGGACTACCATGTCCCTATTATAGTGAGGAGTATGGACCACAAGCTAACAGAGGCCAGCCAGTCCTCCACAATGTATACCTGGTGGGACGTTTACTTGGAGGCTTTGGCTTGACTTGAGATGAAATGGAGCTCAATTGGCAGCCCCTGGCCTAGCTCTCTGGCTTGGTCCATCTTTGTGCTTTGAGCTTGGTTGGGCATCTGTGTTGCTTCTAGTTCTGAACAACAACAACCACCCAGGTGACACACCTCTGCCACTTGGACACCTGGGCACTGCATCCATGCCCTGTGCCAAGGACTCATCCTTCCCAGAAGGCTCTGAACAGGAAAAGTGTGAGAACAGGACTGGAAGAAGGAAGCAGGCCCTGGGTAAGCCCTGGGTGTCTGTCAGTACTTCATGGTCCTGTTTCCCTGCAGACTATGGGTCCAGCCTGGAGGAAGATATCCAAGCAGACACAAGTGGCTACCTGGAGAGGATCCTGGTGTGCCTCCTGCAGGTATCATGACCCAGGCTCTGAATCCTTGGCTCAGGGGTTCCAATAGCCCCACCCCAGGGAGCAGCCCTCAAACAGAGTCACTGGGGTTGGGGCAGGGACATAGGACAGCCCCAGAAGCCTGGGTTCATTGGGAAGGGACATAGGACAGCCCCAGCAGCCTGGGCTCATCTCAGCATGGTTGGAAGGTCTTGACTGCAGAATCCCTGTACCTCTCCTGACTCAGCCATGTGACAGTACCCCCAGACATGGGAGGAGAGCAGGTCCTATGCACTCCCCACATCAGGCACTTTGCTTACCTTAGCTCACTGAACCCCCTAATTCCTATGAGACAGCCCTTACTACCCCCACTGTACAGATGAGAAAACCAAGGTCTAGAAAGAATAACTGACTTGCTGAAGGTTCCACGGCCAAAAAGCAGCAGAGCCCTACCTGCCCTCTGAGTCCCAGCTCTCCCTCGGCCCTGGCTACTCTGGTCGGCCAGCCTGCCTTACAGAGCCACCTTCTCTGTTCCTAGGGCAGCAGGGATGATGTGACCAGCTTTGTGGACCCAGGACTGGCCCTCCAAGATGCACAGGTGAGGCTGCACCTTGCTGGTTATATAGTCCCACCCCCTGCTCTCTGAAATCTGGCCCCTCTGCCCATAGCCACTTTCTTTGACATTAGACTGGGACCCACCCAGCACAGGCCTCCTTGCCAGCTCCCTGCAGGCCTTTGCCTTCTTGTGTCTGAGGAGGAAAGTGAGGGTGTTGGGGAGATGCATGGGGAAGGAGTGTGGCTTGGGAGGAAGGCGGTAAAGCTCTGTCTTGGCAGGAACAGCCCACCAACCTGGCAACGCTGGGCCTCAGGGCTGGACACATGTCCAGATATCAATAGCTCTGCCTGCTGGCAGGGCACTTGGTGATCAGTGATGCCCAGAGGCAGAGGGAAGCCCTTGGAGAGGGCATTTCCTAGAGCAAATTCTGGCCCAGAATGGAGAAGAGATTTTAAGCCAGAGTTGTTGAAGGAAGAGAAGCTCTGTCAGAGAAACAGCCAAGCAGAGGAGAATGCAGGCCTGGCAGAGTGAATGGAGGCTGACTGTCAGTCCTAGATCTGGGATTCTGGGGTACTGCTGGTGGAATAGATGAGGGCTTACCGTCAGCCCTGGCTCTGGGACTCCAGAGTTCTGTCACTCACCTTGGTCTCCTTCACTGGCTTGTTGTGGATGTCCCCACGTAGGATCTATATGCAGCGGGTGAGAAGATTTGCGGGACTGACGAAATGAAATTCATCACCATCCTGTGCACACGTAGTGCCACTCACCTACTGAGAGGTACTGGGGAGGAACGGGGGCAGTGTGGGGTCACAGGGGCACCCTGGCTGCAAGGCCTCTCCCTTTGTGCTGCATCCGTGCTAAGTTTGGAGTTGGGAAGAGAGAGGGAGACCTGGACTCTTTCTGTGGCTGCCAAGTAGGAGGTCAGAATGGCCCACTGATGTGCAGTCTCTGGTCTGAGACACTAGGAGGTATCACGTGGAGACCTGAGTGTCCCCTAAAGCTCTCTCTCTGCAGTGTTTGAGGAATATAAGAAAATTGCCAACAAGAGCATTGAGGACAGCATCAAAAGTGAGACCCATGGCTCGCTGGAGGAGGCCATGCTCACCGTAGGTAAGAGCCAGAGCTTGGCACTTGAACTTGCGTGTGTCCTGGGGCTCACTGTGGGGCAGTACCAGAGGGCAAAGGGTCTAGGAAGGGATAAACAAGTGACTGGATCCCTGTGTCGCCTTCAGAGACCTCCCCCTGATCCACACTCTCAGCCCGTTTCCTTCAGCGTAGACCCAGGGACTGTTCCATACCTAGAGTCTCAGTCTGTGCTGCCAAAGATTGCTCTCTATGCTGCCTTTGTGGCACCCAAAGCTGTGTGAGTGTGTGTGAGAGTGTGTTTGAGAAGTAGTGTGTGAGTGAGTGGGAGTATGTGAGTGTGTATGTGCAGGCACACGTGTACACGCCCGTGATCATGACAGACTCGGGCCCTGGGTGCTCCCACGGCAGCCACACAGAGAGCACTCTGGTTCCAGTTTTGAAGCCCTGACCTGAACAAAGTGATCTTTCTGGACCTGACCCAGAGCCCTGGTCCCCGCCTTCATTATGAGTTAAGGAAATTATAATGTGTAGCTTGAGTACAAAATGAATGATTGATGGTTTGATGCTGGGGAACATGGAAAACCTTGTCCACAGCAGGAGATCAGGCCCATTCAGGAGGAGTCATTCCAGAGTCCATGTGGGGGTCCAGCTGAGATTATGATGGAAAAGGCAGAGTAGAGAACAGAGGCCCAGGGCAGAGGGACCTCTCCCTGGCCCCTCACACCAGGGAGCCAGGTCAGGGCTGCTGGGTTGGATTCTCACCTCCACACCAGGCTGCCTCAAATTAAGGCCCAGCATCCAGAGGGTTCCCCACTGTGTCCTTGTCTCTGGGTGAATGGAGACACCAAAGACACCACAGGTGGTTTTGACTGCTGTGATAAAATCAAGTCTGTGTTGAAGCATGTAATCAGGGCCCCTGTTTCATCCTCAGTTTCCAAAGTGAGGCCCTAGTTTTGATCTGAATATATTCCCCTGGCAGGGAACAGTGACGATATGTAGTGCTCCATTGTGCTTGGCCTTCCTATTCATTTTCCCTTGAAGCCTCTTGTCATTCTCACTTCACAGATGAGTCAGGGAGGTTGAGTAGCAATGGTATGCAGCACCGTCAAGGTGGGGTGTGAACACATGCCTACCTCACTCAAAGCCCACATTCCTGCAGCCCTGGGTGGAAACACCAACCTCCCCACCCAAATGCTGAGTCTCTGAGCCACATCCATGAAGGCAAGCACGGGGCCTACCCTCTGGACCAGATGCCCCTGGGTGCCTTGGTCCTACAGGACCCAGCCCTACTTATCACAAGGGAATTCAAATTGCAGGGTTCCTCTGATAAGCAACACACTGAGAGGACACTCTGAGGCCAGTGGCCACTATACTGTGCTGCCTCTGTGGAGCTGAATGGCTGGATTCCTGGTAGAGCTGTCTCTGGGTGTGAGAGCCCAGAAGCTGCCCTGGGTCTCAGCCATCCTTGGAGGGCCTGAGCTGGTTTCTCCAGACAAGCCTCACAGGCTCCCATGCATTTCATATCTCACCCCTTTGCCTGCCTGCTCCAGGCCTGTGGAGCTGTGCCCAGTGCCCCAGGCTACCTTCCCTGTCCCACGCCACCTGACACAAAGCCTCTCATTTTGGAATAGGCAGGGCACAAAGAAACATGCCAAGCCTTGTGCAACATTAATCCTTAATCGCTGAGGCAAGAAATAAATAAGTAGTATGCAATGCTGCCTATCGTCTTCAGGCAATAACAAAGCTTTCCTGTTTGCCAGTGAAATGCACCCGGAACCTCCACAGGTACTTTGCGGAGAGACTCTACTATGCTATGAAGGTAACTGTTCCATCTTCTGTCGCCTGATAATTGCCCTACATGACACCAACTGCAAAGCCAAGGAGCTGAGAGCCACCACTAGCCTCAACACTGAGGTCATCTCTCACCTCATCTTCTTGCGAAAGGTTTTAATTTTCAGAGGGCAAACAATCTGGGAAAGGGAAGCTGCATCTCCCGAGGTGAATTTGAGCAGGTACACTCACAGGTGTTCATTGCACTGAACTTTTCAACAACCCTGTGAGACCCCATATCATAGTTGCCATCCTAGAGATGGTGAAACTAAGGTTCAAGATCAAGGTCACATAGCTGATAAGTGGCAGAACCTTGGCTTGAACCTAAGCCGGTTCAATTGTCCTTTCCATTGCACAATGTGGCCTCCTTGAGAGAGTGGGTTTGCTACTGGAGATCACATTGTGAGAACCACTGCACCCTTGGCACAGACAAGTTCAGAGGGAGATTGCCACACATGGTAGCTCAGTTTTCCTACCTGGTCCAAGGGTGCCAACCTCGGCATGCCTGTTTCCCAAAAGCCTGCACTAGTCATTCATATCAGGTGGCATTTCTGGCATCTGGAACCAAAGTAGGAGATAGATATTTAAATTAGTTCCCTGAGATTTATGGTTGATGATGGTGGCTGAAACTCACTGAAGTAACATTCATACCAGAAACCCAAGCCCTCTGGCCACTTCTGCTCAAGAAACAAGAGAGGGTACAGGATTCCCTTGGCCCTGTGGCCCCAGCTGACATGAGACTGGTGAGGGACGATGGTGAGCAGGAAGGCCCTGCTGTGAAATGGCTGGTGGCTTCGGCTGCTGCTGCTGCTGCTGCTTTAGGAAGAGCCATTCCTAGAGCAGTGAGGATTTTTAAGTCTAGAATCCAATGTGGCCAACCAAACACATAGTGTACTCTGGGGCATTTGGCATCTAATAAGGGAAGAGTTGGAGGCAGTGAGTAAGAAGAGATTAAGAGAATGGACACCCTAAGCCACCAAAGCATCCCTTCTAATGCGTTCCCCACCGAAGCAGACTTGTTCCTGCAACTCTCTCCCTCAGAGACCCAGAACCCGACCACACAGACTTGCCTATCACTACAGAGATGGATAAGAAAGGTGAGATGTGATCACTGATTGCTGCTGTCTTGTCCAGGGAGCAGGGACGTGTGATGGGATCCTGATAAGGAACATTGTTTCAAGAAGCGAGATTGACTTAAATCTTATCAAGTGTCAGTTCAAGGAGATGTACGGCAAGACCCTCAGCAGCGTGATCACGGTGAGCCAGGAGTTCTCAATTCTTCACCTGGTCTGAAATGTAGACCCTGGGAGTCCTGCGTACTGTAGCCAATGCCACATGCCCTCCTCCCTTCCCAGTGGGCACCACGTGCTCGCAATCATTACCATGAGGTGTGTGCAGGGAAGAGCAAGGAGGTCAGTGTGGCTGGCGTCCAAGGGAAGTATAGGTGGTAGGGGTCCCTCTATGTCTCATCCAGAAAGTTGGCTTTGCATTTGAGTTATGGTTGCTACTTTGAAAAGACACCAAATCTTTGACATCTGAAGAGCCAAGGAGAGGAAGTAGTTTGGAAGGAATCAAGGCTCACCACTCAAATCCAGATTAAGTAGTCCTGGCAGCACACTCTTAAGGAGATAAATCAGATGGGCGCCAGTGGATTGCCTAACCAGATTCCAACTAGTGGAATTAGTTATTGTCTTCACACTGCAACAACTTAGAGAGAAATAGCTCATCTAGTGTTGTATGCAAATTGCAGCCTTGACAATTTCATTAGCAGAAGCCAAATCATGGCAAATATATCCCCAAGTCTTCATTAGCTACTAAGTCAAGTCTCCAGTTCTCTTACAAATGCTGTTGTTGAGTACATTTTTCAAGGGACACACAGCTGACAATATGTCTACAAGACAGTTTGCTTTAAGATGTTTCATAATGGGACAGCAGGTAGGCAGGGGTGAGGGAGGGTTGGAATTACTTTTTGTTTGGTCTTAGGCTCCCCAACCAACTTTGTCAGGAGACAGGAAGGCTTGACACACACCCATCCGGGCTGCCACTGTGTCACTGGTCAGAGCTGATTGTCACTAATCCTTTCTACCACACACAGTTATTTATGGCATTTAAAAGATTTCTAGGGATGTGTGAAGCCCACCCTGTTAGAATTTTACCTAATGTTGTCACTTAAGAAAATTCAGTTAGAATTGTAAACAAGTTGACCAAACATTTTCTTTTCACTCTCTATAGATGTCATCAAAGCAAAAATGATTTCACAGTAATATGTGTATTAAAAACTCCTTCATAGACATTAATAGAAAAATGTTAAAAAAAAAAAAAAGCCATGTACAACTTACATATTTGAAAAAGTAGACTAAATTAATGTTTTTCTTAAAAAAAAAAAAACTATCACAAAAATCTTCTTGGAGCCGGGCTTGGTGGCTCAGCCTATAATCCCGCACTTTGGGAGGCTGAGGTGAGTGGATTGCCTGAGCCCGCAGGTTCGAGACCCGCCTGGACAACTTGGCGAGACCTCATCTCTACAATAAATAATAATAAAAAAAATTAGCCAGGCATGGCAGCACATGCCTGTAATTCCAGCTACTCAGAAGGTTGAGGCAGAAGGATCACCGGAGCCCAGCAGGTCGAGGCTGCAGTGGCCGGGAGCGGCCACTGCACTCCAGTCTGGGCGACAGAGTGAGAATCGAACTCAAAAAAAAAACAAAAAAAATCTTTTTGGAAGTAGGTTTTTTAAAAAAGGACTTTTAAAATGTAGTTTAAAATCTACAATGTTTCAGACCCCAAACAGGCAAATTTTACTGAACTGTCAAGGAATAGACAGTTCCCACGAGACCGAAACTGCTCTGGAGTTTAGCTAAGGAAAGTGGGTGAGCTCCAGCCTACCCCTTACTCAGCGTACGGTCTTGGGTGAACCCACCGCCTTTCTTGGGCCCACTGTCCTCAGCCACATACAAGAGAGCTGGATGACCTGACTTCTCCCGTTCTCCCCACCTCGAGTTCTATGTGCAGACCCTTGGCTAGCCAATCCTCTCAGGACCCACCAACAGCTAAGAAATGAGCCCAGTCATTAGACCTGTGAGGTTGATCTCACTGGGAGACTAACATGTGAACATCACCATCAGCTGGATGCTGGGCAGGCCAGCTCGCCTTTCTCCTGCTATGTCCTCCCACCACATCTCAGCCAGGTGCATGTCATCATCATCAACATCATTTCGTAGACGAGTCTCAGGGAGGTAAAGGGATTTGCCTCAGTCACATGATCAGGGCATGATGGAGCTGTGGTCCAGGCGCTCTCCACCCCACCGCCTCCTGGTGTGGCACTGGGCACCTTGCTCTCAGCCTTGGTTCCCTGAGCTGCAGTAGCAGGTGTTGAAGAAATAACGCCTCCTGTTGTATAAATGACTGACTGGGCACACCTGACGCCCAAATGAAACATGGGAAAGAGCCCTGGGGCAGCTGGCAGGGTAAGAGAGCCACCCACACACCTTCCTGGTTTAAGAGTGGAGCTGTCTCTGTGATTCATTTTCCACATCAATCCCCCATGTAGTTGGTAAGAAAATCAAAAGAAGATACAAAGGAATAGCTGGAATGAAAAGCAAGGAAAGGGGTGTGAAACCTGTGGCTTAAGAACGCTTGGAGGGACAGACCAGGCCCCACACAAGGAGCACAGCTCTTAGTGTAATAACAGCAGCCAGGCCAAGGGCACAAGCACCCCCCCTCCCATCCCTTCTAACTCTCATGTGCCTCCTGCCCTCAGGAAGACACCAGTGGTGACTACAAGGATGCCCTGCTGAGCCTGGTGGGCAGCGACCCCTAAGGCACAGAAGAAAAGAGCCAAGACCAAGAAGGCAGAGTCTCCAGGCCCTGCTTGCTCAGCCTTGACCATGGATGGGGGGCGGGGTAGGAGGACCACAGTCAACCTTTCAGTCTTCTCATTCCCAGTTTCCAGTGCTTTCCAGCTGGTGTTTCTGACCCAGAGGGTGGGATGGACCTGGGGCTCCTCTTTCTGCCTTCCTCTAAGGTCACTTCAGCTGTGAGCACACCATCTCAGCATTCCTCTGGACAAATGCCTCACAAAGGAGCCTGCAAGGGCTCATGGGCCATTTCTTCCTCCCTAGGCAGGGTCTTCCCAAGCTCGACTGGTCACAGAATCCCCTGGGCAATGATGATGCAGATGTCCTGGCCCCTTTGGCATATACTGAAACAAGATCTACAGAGGAGGGTCCAGGGAATGTAGATTTTTACCAAGCATCTCAGGGGATATGCTTCTCTATTGGATAGTCAGTGAGTGGGTTATGAGAGCCCCTTTGTTTTAGAACACACATTTGTGGGCAGCTGAGAAAGGAACACATATATTCATCCCCACAAGGATGCCATTAACATTCATTCACCAGCCTCATCTAAATGTGTTAGGCTCTGGGAGGAAGAAACATTGTCTCACCATCCTAATAACAGAGTAAGCTACAAATCAATGTCCTGGCTCACAGACAGACACCACGTCCTAAGAGGTTCAGTTTCCCCAGTTTGTTGATCATATCAGCTTCCCTTTCTCTTCATGACATAGCATATAGCCCTCAGGGCATGGCCAAGTCCTCAGCAAATTATCCCCAGCAAATGCAGACTGGATACCTGGAATTCTAAGGTGACTTTGTTGTGGTTTTCTGAATAATAAAGATTTGTAATCAAATCAAAGTGTCTTTGTATGTTTACCAGTGACCAGAGTAGGACTATTTAATTTGTCAGAAACAGAACTTTGGGGAGCAATCAAACCTGAGTAAACCAATGGACATTTCCCTGTGGGAACACTTTGGGTGAACTTTGCCTACTGCTGCCCTGGGGACGTATGTTATAAATGAGGATGGTGATTCACCTCCTGGTTTGTAACCTAAAGCCCATTCTCTCAGGGTTGGAAGGGGCCTTAAAAGTTGGCTAGGCTAGTCATTTTCCAAACTGCTGCTTGACCACCCTCTATGGCATTTCAGGTCAAGGCACTGCCAGTTCAGTTCCTGGTGAGGGCCCGCTTCCTGGCTTGTAGATGGCCACCTTCTTGATGTGTCCTTCTGTGGCAGCTAGGGAAGGAAGCAATGGAGACCTGGCCAGGACACCAGTAGCATCCTCAGTACCTCCAAATCATTTTTGCTGTCATAAACACTTGAGCACTTCTGATAAAATAGACACATTCCATACGTTTAAAATTGCTGTTTGGGATTTCTTTAACACTTCTGTGTTTTTAAAGATTATTTGGGGTCTGCTTAGTTTAATTTCAGCACAGAAGAATGAGGGAGCAATGACAAGGATTCTTTGCAAACTTGAGTCAGACTCCTGAACCTTCTCCTAGACCCGTCTGCATACTTTCTTGTAGAATCCATTTTGAGTAAGAACACTGCTGAGTCTGTTCAGCAAGAACCCCATCCTCGACACCTGATCACCCCCCAATATTCATATAGTTCCTCCTCCTCCACCATCCCCCGGTGATGTCTGACCATCCTGGTCTGTCATCAGCAAGAATCCCGTTAGGTCATTTTATCCAGAACTCCACATGCCCGTGACATTTTCCGTTTTCTCTTGGTAATTTTCCATCCACTGACTTAGAGTTCCCTGGCTCTCATGTTGTATTTGGAGTTAAGCCCAGTTCTGAACTGAGGGCTCTTTTCCCCTACTACAATAGTCCTGAATACCATCTGTCCTTACCTCTTTAACTACTGTCCAGCTCTGGCTCTTCTTTGCCAGTAAGTATTCCCTGCATGTGGCCTTGCCATAGCTCTGTGGTTGTTTGTAAACTCTCTCCAAGAGATTATATATACATGTACTCTCCCTCTATCTTCAGATCAAAGTTGTCCATGCCCTGACATCTGGATTCATTTTCTTCCATCACAATGCCGCACAGGAGAGAAGGCCAAAATGTGCTCTTGCAAATGGAATCCCAGGCTTGTTCTATGGCATGGAATTAAGACATAGCTTTCATACTGCATGAGATTCTGTAAGCTACCCAATAGCATTCTCTAACTTTCTTTTCTGCTTAAACTACACAGAGTATATGCTCTCGTTAGCAACTAAGAATTCTACTGTAGAGAATTACACCCTAATGGCATCTTACCTGTATATGTGTCTCCTTTGGAACAGCTGTGAGTCCTTGAAGGTAGATACTTTGCTTAATTTGTTTTGAACATTTATTGCCTGGTATATAGCAGGCACTCAACAAATACTTTTGAATGAACTACAACAACAAACGAGAATACAGACTCTGGTGTTGGAAGAGCCCACTGGCCAGTGAGCCTGAGCCAGTCCTTCATGGTCTCTGATTCTGAGAAGATTCTCTGGGCCCCCTTAGACTCCCTGTAGAAGGAAACCTACCTGGACAACCCTAATAAAAATAGTTCTAGAAGAATCTAACAGGAGGAGGTGGCTTCCCTCAGTTCCTTTGGCAGCTGCTTGGCCCCAGGCGCAATTTCAGATCCTGACCCTACAATGACAAACACGCCTAGAACTGGTCCCTGTTGCAGTCCCTTTGTCAGAGCCTGCCACCCCTGACATCCAGTGGGGCACGAGGCCAATGGCCAGAACCAAGCACCTGCCCACTGGTGTCAGTCTCATACTGTTAGCGGGATAGAGCTAGCATGTTGGACTTGGCCTATAGGGTCACCTTCCTGAGGGTTGACTACTCAGGCAAAATCAGGATCCTCTTGGCAAGGAATAAAGAGAATAGATCTGTGGTTGGCCACCCACATTGTCTGTGACCAGGGTCAAGCATTCTACCTGTAACAGGCTGGGGCTGGTCAGGTAAGGCTTCTTAAGGAAGGTAATACTTGAGCAGAGTTTTGAAGGATGACTCAGTGCTTATCAGATATAAGATAAGGAAGGACATTCCAGGCAGAGGGAGGAATGCAAACCACAGCAAGGGGGATCTAGCCTGTATGAGACACATCTAAGGAAGGGTATGTTCACACCAATGGAGGAGGGAGAGTCAAAAGATAAAGGTGTTGTCAGAGGCTGAGTCAGGGAGGGCTCAGCGGCTGGATTGAGAAGCTCAAAGGATTTCCGAGGACCATGGGAAACCTGTACAGGGAATAGGTAAGGAGTATCTTGGCTGTGTTTTAGTAAGATTTCTGACTGCAGCATGAAAAGTGAATCTGGAGGCAGGATCCCAGCACTGAAATGTTGCAACACTCTGGAAAGACACAGACCAATTCCCTCCAGCCCACGAGCTTAGCACTTAAGGTACTAGGTTAATATCCTGGGAGAAGGCTGGCCTTTATATCTATGTGGTCCTGGGAAGTCTTTTTAACTATTTGTAATGTACCCCATCTCTGCCCTTATAATGAGGAGTAGATACTGATTTCCATTGCTCCTATCATGAGACCATAAATACCTGGAATACCTCTCTGAGCCCCAGGCCTGAGTGTGAGGTTCCAGGAACGTTCATAGCCCCATGGAGGTATTTAAGTTCCCTCATGGAATTTGGTCAAGGTAGGTCCTGTCTGATGTGCCAGAGGCCTGTGACTGCCTTTGTTCCTTGCTCTTGGGCTATCCTCTGATGGAATTCTGGGGCCCCAAGTTGGTGATTAGGGCTTGCACTTATCTCTGTGATATACTCTGGAGCAGGACACTCACTGGCATCTCTCAGACCCGAATCCCTGGGGTGCCTGATGCTCAGCCATGACTGGCTATGCTCAGATCACTCTGCATGGACCAGCTAGCTTCCTTGGGGCCACAGTTCTGGAACCAAGTTTTCCTCCCCAGAACTGAGAATTCTTCTACTCCCAGAGTGCCTTGCTGTGATGACCATGTTGGCCATGGGTCAACAGCAACCTTCCCCACAAGTACCCTTGTCCCTTCTGTCCATAGTTCCTCACAGATAAGTTACCATCCCAACCCCTATTTCACCCCAAGCTATGCGAAACAGAAATCAGTCATGTCAGCCTGATGGGACTTAGGTAGGCCATCACCCTCCCAACCCTTGGTCAGCTGACCCATCCCAGATGCCAAACCCTGTCGTGCTTCCCATATCCTTCCGTACTTATCTAGCCCAGAACTTGCTGCCTAGCGACATTTGGGTCCCAGGTTTCCTTTGGCTTCAACCCCTCTTCACTCTCTCAGATTGCCTTTGTTCCCCTAAAGGCCCCATTCCCAGGGCTGTGTTCTGAGGAAACACATCCACTGGGGAAGGGCTCCATGCAGATCTTGGATGAAGTGCCCCTCCTGCTGTCCTCCCGCTGTGACCATACATGACATCTGTGCCCCAAGAGACTCAACACTGACAGAGCGCAATGCCACATCCGTTCTGCTGAGTGGCATCAAGCGGGCCTATAAACCCGCGCCCACAGCGCTCTCTGGTGGCCGCCTCCGACCCACAGAAAGACATTATTATTTTTTACTGTGTGTGGCAGGATTTTACAGAGAGAGTCGGGACACCAAGGCCAGGAAGCAGTTTTATTTGTGCCGGCACCGGCTAAGCGGATTTACATTCAAAGGCTGAGCGCTGAGCGCTGGGGGGCATTGCCTTTTATACAATTTTAGCTTTTTTGTCCCCCAATAAGGCTTACATGTTAGTAACAGACAGGCTAATCAAGTATTTTACAGCTCAAGTTTACAGCAGAGTTACCCATGTGCACTATAGATTGAGGCTACATTTCTTTCTAATATGAATCTTTTTTTTTAACTTTAAAATTTTTATTTTAAAGATGTGGGGTTCAAGATTAGGTATACAAATATTCATTATGCAGGTACCCTTGTTGATAAGGTGTGCCCTCCCTTCCCCAGGCAGATTCCCACTACTGCCAAGCCCACCTTCCCACCCCTCTCCATCTCCCCGAAGTTTCCCACTACTGCCAATGCTTTTCTTATAGTATTACAATAACTGTTCAAGGTCCACTTATGAGTGAGAAAATGAGTCTTTGTTTTTGTGAAAGATCACTCAGTATTATAGACTCTAAGTCCATCCAGGTTGCTGTGAAGTTCATGATTTTGTTCTTCTTTATGGCTGTGTAATATTCCCTTGTGTGTATGTACCACATTTTTTTTTAATCTCATCCTCTTTTGATGGGCAGTACGGTTGGTTCTATGTTCTTGCTATT